CTAACTTACAGGGCGATAAAATAGGAAACTAACTTTTCCTAGAAAACTAATTTCTGTATCAGTGGGATTCTCCAATTAATATCCCATGATTCTAGGAAACTAACTTATGTATGTTTCCTAAACTGATGGACCTAAAATTATGGAGAATCAATCAGAGAGTCAATCTTCGACAGTCTTCTATGCACATGACGACACCATCTTAGCCTACTTTCTCTTATTTTATCACCTGTTGGAGCTACTCCCAAGTCATATTTGATCCTATCCTTAGTTTTTCCACTCATCCATCATAGCACACACATTTCATCCACACTCATTTTCTGGACATGTTTATTGACGGACCAACACTTTGCTCCATACAACATAGCTGGCCTTGCAACTATTCTATAAAATTTTCCTTTTAATCTAAGTGATATTTGCCTATATATAATTATACATGATACATAATGTTTCATGCACACTATTACCTTGTTATTGATATTATTATTTTGTTATATTTTCTTTTACAATCAGTGCCAAATAGGGGCAATCCAAGAGGAGGGGAGTTGTTGCTTGCATTGGGAGGATTGTGATGAGCAAATTGATTTGGTTGCCCTGGCATCAAAAGAGACTATTCTCTTCTATGATGAGGTGTGCACTCAAATACAACAGGGACTAAATAAAGTGGTTTAGTCCACTTTATTTTTCACTGACTCGTCTCTTTATTTTTCACTGCCCTGTACTTGTGTTGATGCCACTAATTTAAGTATTTGTTTTGATTTGACAGGTGATCTTATATGAAGATGAATTGGCTGATAATGGGGTGTCACTCTTAACTGTGAAAGTGGTAACTTCTGAAGTTTTGATCCTCTCTATGACTGAAATCTGATTTTTTCCCCTGCCAAATATTCATATGATAGGCATCACTATTACCTCTTATTTTGTGATCTTTGTAGAGAGTCATGCCAAGTTCTTGGTTTCTACTGCTGCGTTTCTGGGTAAGTCTTTGTTTTTTGAGATGAAAAATGGACTGTTTGAGAAATAAGTGAAGATAAGCTGTGGATCTCCTGCTTCTTGCACTTGTGTGAGTCCTTTGGTTTTCCTTGTATTGATGTTGAATCAATTCACTTTGACAGCTTAGAGTTGATGGGGTACTTGTGAGATTAAGGGACACTCGGATGTATTGTACTTTCGGGAGCGGGGCTACTCCCAGCATTCTTCGAGAGTGTTGCTGGAGAGAAGCCACCTTTCAAGATCTATCTGCCGTAAGTTTATGAATGAATTGTCACCATCTTTTTCAGGAATATTTATATGTACTGGACTCTTTTAATGAAATGTTGCAGGCTTACCACCTGTCTGTCATCACTGTTTTCGGACTTTGTGATTTGTCAAATTGAAGAGAAGTTTGACTTTTTTTAATTTATCTTTTGGGTAGGGGCCATTACTTGTTGTAATGGTAAAACCTATGCGGGTTATTCGTCCCAAAAAAATGCAGGTTCAAGTCTGAGAATAACCACTTCGTGTAGAAAATGCCAGGTTAGGATTGTATCCATCATATCCCTCCCAAGGTCCCAGATAGCTTGGACCAACATTAGATAATGACCCTTTTTATCTTTTCGGTGGAATTGGGTTTGGGTCCCACCTAGAAGTATGGTTGCTTTACATATGTTAGATTGATCTGGTCAGTTTGATGCTAGAGATACAAGTCCTTTACAAATCTTTCCCCCTTGCTTTACTTTGTAGAGGGAATAACATTATCTTTTGAGTTCATGGCTTCAAATGTCAAAATTTGTCAGATATGTCAGTTGACATTATCTTGGTTTTGAGGCCTACCATCCAAGGTTCAAAATATCGATACACCCTGATACGCTAGCAAGGGTGTATCAATGCATCAAACCTTTGCTTTTATTTTTTTAGTTTTTGTTTTCAAAATTTCATAGTAGGGGTTATTTTTATATTCTTTAATTAATAAAAAAAAGGATTTCTCAAAACTCCCTTAAAACAGGTGTATTGTTAGTCAAAGATATGATACGAATATCAAAATTTTGAACCTTTCTACCATCATAAACTTGAAGGCAAATTATAAAATTTAAAAGTGCCAGTCAAATATTGCAATATTTCAGTTGAAGTTGATAATTTTAGCTGACATAAACACATTTTATTTTTAGAAATACAATATGTTGAACCAAAATGTCAATACTATATGTCAGTGAGCATGATATACTAGTATTACGTGCACATGATATAAACTTTTCAAAAATATTTATTTAATCCATACATTTAAATTATTTGCACAACATTATATAAATATGCTTTATTAAAATTAATATTTCATTAAACATGAAAAGAGTGGAAGTAAAGGTGATCATATAATATATTATGTATATTCTTTTCATTATTTTCTCATTATAACACCATCTGCCATTATTTTTTTTTAGACAAATAATCATTTACTTCTTAAGTTAGTATAGTATTATTGATTCACATTATTGTTGTCAAATATGGCCTTAGTTGGATTTTAATATGGAAGTATGAATTTGACTTTCAAAAATATAGGGAAATCAAATAGCGTAACTTTTGTCTGTTTAAATTATATTCCTTTTTCTATATGTTAGTTTATATTGACATTATAATTTAAGTGTGCATTTATGCTTATTTGGTCATTTGTTAAAATATCATTGGATATTTCTGAAAATTTTACAATGTTTTCAACATATCTATAATTTTGGCATTGTTTCCATAAATCAGTCCTCTAAAACTGATATAAAATCTTGATTAAAATCAGAGAGAAAAGTAGAGGACAGCAGTACAAAGGAAGAAGATGGAGAAAAGAAGAGGAAGAAGAAGAGTTTGATAATCTCCTCTCTCCCCTCTCTAATCCTTTTGTTGATCTTCATTCATTAAGCTAATTACAAGTATGCCCTTAAGTGGGCGGCCAGCTAAGCAGGAACCTAAAGAAAGCTTATAAAAAAGAAATAACAGGCCCATTAACAAACAAATAAATAACACACTACAAGAATAAAAGAATAAATACTAGGGCCCATTCGGCCTAGTCTCTCTACACTCCCCCTCAAGCTGAGCATAGATGTCAATCATGCCCAGCTTGCTTATATAGTGTGTCAGCTTCCTTCTTGGAACTCCCTTGGTCAAAACATCAGCCAACTGTTCTTCTGAGGCAATAAATGGCAAGAAAACTTTTCCTGAGGAAACTCTTTCCTGTATAAAATGTCTATCAACCTCAATGTGCTTAGTTATGTCATGTTGAACAAGATTATGTGCAATGTTGGTAGCTGCCTGGTTGTCACAATAGAGCATCATTGGCTTTTCATAGTCAACTCCCAATACTTCTAAAGGAGATCGTAGCCATAGTAATTTTGACACACCATGTGCCATTGCCCTGTATTCTGCTTTAACAGAGGATTTGGCAACTACAGACTGTTTCTTACTCCTGCATGAAACAATGTTCCTTGCCATCAAAGCACAATATCCCGAGGTGGATCTCCTACCATCAATATATCCAACCCAATCGGCATCAGTGTATGCCTCTAGCTTCACGTGTCCATGTTTGGCAAGAGTACCTTTCAAGTAACACAAAACTCTTTCTGCAACAACTAAATGTGTATCTCTGGGAGAATGCATAAATTGACTAATAACACTCATTGCATAGGAAATATGCGGTCAAGTCATGCAGAGATATAACAACTTCCCAAGTAATCTCTGAAACACTCCCCTATTAGATAAAAGTTCACCATCAATAGTAGAAAGCTTATGATTGGGATACATAGGGGTAGAGGTCGGTTTAGCACCAAGTTTACCAGTCTCTGCAAGGAGGTCAAGAACATACTTGCGCTGAGAAATGGAGATACCATCCTTAGATCTAGTCACTTTAATTCCCAAGAAATACCTGAGATCTCCTAAATCCTTGATCTTAAATTTAGAGTTAAGAAACTTTTTGAGTTTATTGACCTGTGTGTCATTACCCGTGACCACAATGTCATTAACATAAACAATCAGAAAAGTCACCAAAGAGTTAATTCTTTTCAAAAATAAGGTATGGTCAGATTGAGTTTGTGTGTAACCAAATGAGACAAGAGTAGCCCTGAATCTCTCAAACTAGGCCCGAGGGGACTGTTTGAGACCATAAATGGATTTCTGCAGTTTACACACCTTCCCTTGCATTTCCTTTCTATACACTTTCGGAGGCAAAGACATATAGACCTCTTCATGTAGATCTCCATTCAAGAAGGCATTTTTAACATCAAACTGGTGGAGAGGCCAATCAAAAGTAGCAGCTAGGGACAACAAAACCCAGACCGAGGTCATCTTGGCCACAGGAGCAAAAGTCTCAAGATAGTCGATACCGTACATTTGAGTGTAGCCTTTGGCAACCAATCTGGCCTTAAAACCTCTCAATAAAGCCATCATAATGATATTTAATGGTAAATACCCATTTACAACCCACTGGTACCTTCCCTTCTAGCAAATCCACCAAGTATGGTTCTTATGCAAAGCATCCGGTTCAACCATCATAGCATCCCTCCATTTAGGTTTAGATAGGGCTTCTGGTACAGACCTGGGTATCACATGGGAAGAAATAGAAGCAACAAAAGAGTAATAGCTAGGGGATAGAAAGCTATAGGACAAGTGTTTAGAGATACAATGGGTTGTACACTTCCGCTTGCCTTTGCAAAGAGCAATAGGAAGATCAAGGTCTGGGAAGGAAGTAGATGGGTCAGAGGAAGGCTGACCTGTTACCTTAGTAATGATGGGAGGAGCAAGAGGTTCTTTTGCAGGAGTGGAAACAACTTGCCCATACCTGAATCTGTGTCTTTGGTGCCACCTTTGGAGAACAGGATGTGAGGGAATTATAGGAGGATGAGGTGGAGGATGAGCAGGAATACTTGATTTGAGGTAGTCACAGTGGGAGAAGAGGACAACTCAGCAGATGACTCAAAAGGAACAGGAAGAGGAACTGCTGGAGACATAGCAAAGGGCTCCTTAGATTGCTCCCCCTCAGGAGGAATACTAAAGAAATGAGTAGACTCAGCAAATGTGACATCCCGAGAGACAAAGTGGGTGCTACTGATCGGATCAAAACAACAATATCCCTTTTGTGTGGAGGCATATCATAGAAAAACACATTTACGTGCCTTAGGTTCAAATTTGTGCCTTTAATGACTATGAACATGTACATAGCAGGTGCACCCAAAAACATGGAGAGGAAGAGAGAAGAGATCCTCATCCGGAAAGAGAAGGCAAGGGGGTTTTGAAACCCAGAACCTAGGAAGGCATACAGTTAATCAAAAAGGTAACAGTAAGGACAAAATCTCCCCAAAATTTAATAGGAACATGGGATGCAAAAAAGGAGGGATCTAGCAACCTCAACCACATGGCGGTTCTTCCTTTCTCCCACTCCATTCTGTTGTGGAGTGTAGGAACACGAATTTTGATGAATAACCCCAAAAGTTTCAAGATAGGATGAGAGGTTCTTCTCAAGATACTCCTTAGCATTATCAGAACGGAATATTTTGATCCAGGTGTGAAACTGGGTAAGGATAAGTTCATGAAATTTTTGCACAATAGTCGGTATTTCATCCCAAGATCTCATGAGATAAATCCAAGTGTAACGAGAATAATCATCAATAAAAAGGATAAAGTACTTGTAACTCCCCATAGTATGCAAATGATATGGCTCCCACACATCAGAGTGAACAATATGAAAATGAGAAATGGATCTTTTATTGCTTACTGAATAAGACTGTCTACAATGCTTTGCAAGTTCACAAGACTCACAATGAAGACTCAATAAAGACACTCCCTTAAACATATTGGGAAACAAATGACTCAAAGCAAAAAAGGACAAATGACCAAACTGAAAATGATATAGCATGACTCTATCAACAGACTCTGACAAAACTGACTCCAAGGCTACTCCATGAGGTGGTCCAAGACTCCTATCAGGTGTGTCCAACAAGTATATTCCATTCACCTCATGACCACTCCCAATCATCCTCTGAGATTTCAGGTCCTGAAAAACACAATGAGTAGGAAAGAAGGTTAAGCTATAGTTCATGGATTTAGTTAAGTTGCTAACAGATAAAAGATTTGTATTAAGTTTGGGGACATGAAGAACAAATGATAAAAGAAGGGTGTCAGGGGTCTTAATATCCCCTTTGCCAGAGATGGGAGCAAGAGATATTTTCTCGTTACCAGAGAGGGTGATATGAACAAAAAAGGTTAGACAAGCTGGTCATATGGTTTGATG